TTTTTTTTTGTGGTGTTGAGGCGGTGAGGGTGTTGATAAAGGCGCCCTCCAAAGGGCTCCGTCTGTTTTCGCGCGCTAAGCAAAGACAGAGCTGAGGGAGAAACTTGACACACGGCAGAAAAATAGACAAAAAAGGTAGAAAAAGTCTTGCGAGCTTTGAGTGATTTACTTTCCAATCTAAAATCTCCCCCCCACAGCTCCTCCCCATCCCCACCGGACCCCCATGTTGCCTTTGGACGACCGCCAGACGCCTTTGGATTGTTGTTCGACTCCTTTCTCGTGTCACTCGACAGGCGCTCACTGTGACCTTTTCCGGCGATGAATATACGACGCCGAAAGATCAACTAAGGAGGGAGCCGAGCGGAAAAAATCACCCAATCAGGCGAGGCAATATTTCAGCTCAATATTAATGTGTCCCCTCCGTCACGGGTGACCTCCGGCATCTTGGCATGTGTGCGTCATTGTGTGTGTGTGTGTGTGTGTGTGTGTGTGTGTGTGTGTGCGCGTGCGTGTTGTTAGGCTCTACTCCTATCTTGAAGGCTCCAAGCTGTGCTCCAGCTTCCAGGCTGTCAGTGGTTTGTGTCTCCTCACCATCTCTATCTCAAACGACATGACACACTCAGTAAAAGTGAGGGGGAGACAACCTCAAATATTTGGCAAAGGGAAAGCCTTAAGTTATGCAAAGCAGGGGGGTGGGGGGGGTCTATTGTGTTGCATCTGGATCCATTAGTCAGCTGTTGGAAAGGTCCCACGTCGACGTGTGTGTAAAAGAAAAGCATGCACAATTCAAAACAATGAGGTGCAAAGCTATTTGGCAACGACGGCAACGCTGTCTGTTGACTCACACGAATCACGAGGCTTGAATCACAAAACGGACAAAAAACAAAACCGGACAAAAAAAAGTTTCTTGTGACCTTTGCTTGAAAGACATTTTATGATTGGAATTTTTTTTTTTACTTCAAGAAAACAAATGAAGGCGTCACAAACTTGCGCAAGAAACGCTTTCATTGGAGAGCAACTTTCTCGGAACAAGAGTAGATCTGATACACGAGTTGTGCAGTCCAACCATTAAAGTATCCGGACGAGTATTGGATCACACGTACAGCGGCGTGCGCGTTGATAACTTTGCAGTTATTGTATAACAGTCCTTCTGGGAAGAGGTTCTTCTCTAAAGCGTTTGCCGTTTGTCCGTGGGAACTTTTATCTCTTTATCCAGATGAACGTTTGTGGTGTCAAAGGTTACCACTGTTGAATTTGAGCGAGGGGCCTGCCTCGCTCGCAATCTCCAAAGGCATCTGATGAAAACTGAAGAAATTCATTTCAGCGTGTCCGTGCCGCAGATAGATATGGAACAGAAGGGTTCAAGGCACAGAATTGTCCATAAATATCTGGATCTTCACCAAACTTTACAGTTGTCACGCTGTCGGCAGGCTGATCATTTGTTCTGCCATTTTTAACAAACCCTAGAAAAGTGTTTACACGCGCCGATAATCGGGCTGATTTACAACATTTCCTCGCTTCCGATCAAATTATCGGATGTCAGTACAGTAGATACATTTCACGATATGCAGCTCTCACTCCAGCTGACATGTTTGAACTTTCACTGATTTGGCCGTTCTCGAGTGTCGGAATACGTTTGAATCAAAACGTGACGCAACGTAAATGACACCGTACCAGAAAAGATGACATCTTAATATGGTTATAGAAAGCAAAGGGAATGACAAAAAGGTTTGAAAATGTATGCGTTGTTGTTTTCTTTCTTTCTTTCTTTCTTCAACAGTGCTCAAATAGATGCCACAGTGATCGATGATTGGCCGTTCTTCCGGGCACTGGAAGGAAAGTGCTGTTAAACGTCTCAACAATCAGGTTCCCTGGGGTTATTTTTTTTTTCAGGAATGTTAATGGGCTTAGAACCGAGTGGCCCCGTGGCCTCTGGCTCACGCTCCTTTGGGCTTTTCCTATCAAGCGTTCCATCAAGCGCTGCACCAACGCTGCGGTGCCGCCGTCGTCATCTGTTTTAGCAAGCCGGTCATTGCAACAGGAAGCTTTTGATTAGTACGCTGCCAAGCACACTTTGATGGATTCTATTCTGTTTGCCGTCACTGAAAGAAAATGAAGGACTTTGCATTTTCGGACACGGTTACGAGAGGACTTGGTCCGGGATCTTTGCTTCGTGTCAAGTCGACATTATACAGTCAGGGAAAGTGTTTGGACTTCTCTCCGTACATAAGACAGCGATTAGTTTCTCACGAAGTTCAGCTCTCATTAGGTTCCTAAATGGAAACAGATGCAAAGAACAACATCAATCCCTTTAATAGAACCTTATAGAAATCTTTTAATTTTTCTCTCGAATGCAGATTGCTTTTCCAGACTGCTTGCTCTCAAACATTCTTCCTAAGAAACAAATGGTGCGCAGCGGACACTCTCTGACATCTGACCAATTTGTGCACGTTTATCCTTCTTTTGGGGGCTTGGATGAAATTGGGGAATTGGGGAGGAGAGTGTCATCGTGCAGTCAAATGGCAGTATTTCTCTCCGGTGGACTTCTGTAGACCGTCTTAAGCCAGTTTTCCCCCTTGAATACAAATATATGCACACTCATATGAGTAAAGCATTCAATGGATGGAGGGATGGGTTTGGGTGGGTGTTTGGATGGATGGAGGGATGTATGAATGATGGGTTTGGGTGGGTGTTTGGATGGATGGAGGGATGTATGAATGATGGGTTTGGTGGGTGGATGGATGGATGGATGGATGGATGGATGGATGGATGAATGGATGGGTTTGTTGGTTAGATGGATGGTTGGATGGGTTTGGTGGGTGGATGGATGATTGGTTGGTTTGGATGGATGCATGGATGGATGGATGGATGGATGAGTTTGGATGTATAGATAGATGGAAGGATGGATAAATGGATGGATAGGTTTGGTGGGTGGATGGATAGATGGATGCAATGTATTTTTGTCTGGATCATGTTTGTATCATCTATGCATGCATGTATATCTTTCCATTATTCAATCTTTCTCTCCGTCTGTCTCTCCATCTGTGAACATTAACTGTGAATCAATGTTGAGAGTTTAAAATCATTTTGTTGAGGATTTATGATCATTGTTGACCTTGTACATATTGAAATAGCATTTTTTGCGAGGGCACCCTTATGGTCACTTATTGTCATCGCGGTCCAGCATGTTTGATTTAATTTGTGCGGGACGTTGCGCGCCTCTGTCTGCGCCATTTGCACGTCAGGGACTTTGCCACCTGGAATCGGGCAGAACAGCTGCCCAAATAAGCGTCGACCTTCTTTATGATTGCCCCTAAATCACTTGTAACTGCACAGACAGATGCAGTTAAATATTATATGTTCATAATGAAGGCCTTTCAACAACCTGCACATTTTTTTCAACCCATTTGAAATGTTTGCTCAGGTTTATGATTTCCCTCAAACTGGAAGTTAGGGACAGCGAGTCATTAAAGCCATAATTCTCCCTGTGTGCCACATTTTTTATGGTTACTCGCTTTCTCATGTAAGACTGACCTCAGAGTCGCTGCCTTCCTCTCTGGTAAATTTATGTGTCTACCTCTCCCCTCTCTCTCCTCCATTCCAATCAAATTACAGCATTGTGTCAGGTAGAACAAATTTGGTCTCTGATTATATCAGTTAAGTATAGTGTTCCAAAAGAGGTGGAACTAATAGTTCAGTACCTCCCGTAAACTGACATGACGTGATTGTGGAGGCGATGACTCATTGTGTTGACCCAGGCTCAGTTTTCAGGGTTGCTCGGAGTTGGACTGCCACGACGGTGCAACCTAATCTGCGCTGGACCACATGAGTCGAATCCCAGAGGTGGAAAAATTAGGTCTGACCGCTCAACCCTAAGAGCATCATCTAACACCTGCGAACATAAATGGATGATGACTGCTGCCCCCTAAAGGCCCTTTTCTCCCCTCATCCGGTTGGCAGGCCATCCTTTCGATGGGGATCACGTCAGTTGTAAATTACGAGCAAAGGTCATCAAGTGGCAGCCTCCGCAGATGTCCACTTCCACAGACGCTCCGCCGTGTCCTGTAAAGATGTTGCCGTCAGCTCATGCGCGTGGAATACTAATGCCTCCATGTTATTTGCATCAGAAGAAATGTATTTTACCTTGAGTGAATCACTGTTACTCCTGGACAGTAGTCAGTCAAGAAACACTCTTCTAATTCGACTGACAACCAGAAGAAGAATCACATTGTTCGTTATAATTACGTTTTACCGTGGCAAGTAAAAGCTACATTTTTCCGTCGTACTTTAATAATTCTATATTGTCTTGAGCATTTTGACTGTCGCCATTGACTGTAGTTTTATATCGCGGTTTGTATTCTGCTCACCTGCAATAATATAACTTCCCACTGGTGGCCACAGAACAGTAAATGTGACTGTGGCGTTTTACGACTCTCGAAGTTATAGTTTCCTTCGGAGGGCCGTTACAAGCGCCAATCCAAACAAATGGCTGCCTCATATTACAAATACACAACAATTTGGTCAAAAACTAATTTTGAAATCATGGGGCAGCAAAAGCTTTTTTTTTTGTCTTTCGGTGAATACTTGCCCGTGTAGTTTAATAGCGAGGAGACAAAGACTAGCGGTACATTTCTTGTAGCAGTTTATTATTGTACGTTTGAGTTGGGAAAAAGTAATGTTTGTCTCCCTCTGCTGGCGAATGCGTTGTATCATTTTTATGCTTTGCCATTGCAAACTATAACTGGAGGAGGCTCACAAATTAATCATAATAATAATTGAATGTAAAATATGGAACAATGTTTATTTTAACAACAGAATAGCAGATGCAGATTTTTAAATTAGTTTTTTAATGATTCGCTGAATTACAATTTATTGTTTCAACCAATAATTTCTTGAACAGAAATTTTATTGTACATTATACTATTTTTTTATTTTTATCAACAACTCTTGATAATCCAACTGCTCAGTCAACCAGATTAAAGAACAGAACAGGTACGATGTGGCCTGCGGGCCATACATTGCCCATCCCTGGGCTAACATCTCAAACAGCTAAATACACTTCATTTTGTGTAATTAACACACACACACTCACACACACACACACAGTGTCAATAGATGATGTGTCCTGACCGCATGTCATACTATTGGCAATTGCAGCAGGTGTGTGGTCACATGATCGCTCCCATACACGAGCGGCACGGCGTCATGAAGCTTCTGAATGTGACCTGCGGAATGAAACTCCCGCCATTGTTTGGCTAACACACAAAGAACATTCCCACCCCCTGCGTAAACCAGCAACCTCTGTGGCGTCAACGCATGGAGACAGTGTCGCTATAGTTTTCCTTTACTGCTCTTTTCATGCTGACTGTGAGAATTCGTGAGCCTAACATGTATGCGCATGTAGGATGTGGTAGGATGTTGCTGAGGAGCTAACTGCTACACTGGTAGCTAAAACATTCACAAATCCATCTTTTATCAATAGCTGGAGGTGAAAAAGACTGTTCAGCAGTGCGACATGACAGAGGAGGCTTTTGTAAATGTTTCATTTCCAGTTTTGAAGGAACTGGAAAATAAGGTTGGCCGTAAAATACCTGAAAGTCTTCTGCTTTGGATGAGGAACGCCGCAGACTCGGAAGATGGTGAGATAGAGGACCAAAACTACCTTTTCGGAGATTCTTTTGCCAACAAATTGAGCAACCTTAAAAAAGAGATGGTAAGGAGGATTTTCTTTATCTTCATATGATGAAATTGAAGTTCATTCAGTTAAGCAAACTAGCTGTTGGGTCAATTCTCAATTGTAATTTGGCTACCTTATGTAGCATCGTTATTTTGTCAGTTACATCACCGCTGAAGGATCGCAATTGTCATAAACCGTTTCAGGTTTTTAGAACACAGTTCTAAAAAAAAAAACTCAGTAAGTTAAAGAGCACAAACACGTTCCCTTTTGAACGTCACTACTATAATTTTACTGCAGTCTTTACTGTCCATTCAGAGGTGGATGCGCTCCGCGGACGTGAGGATTCTACGCCAGCTGGTCGCCGTGCACGAGGGTATAGAGTCCATGCATTGGCTCATGACGGAGCGGAGCACCTCGGCCAGTCGTGACAGCAGCCTGGCAGGAAGTATCAGCAGCCTGGTGGCAGTAGAGGAGCATGCACACTCGCTATCTCCATGCAGGTGCAGTGTTTGGAGACATTTATTCATACAAATATTATGTTTTTATTTCAATGAATTTCAATGGGGGGAAAATTGATTTGAGATACTGGAACACGTTATTTGGAACACGTCAGTGAACCACATGACCTCGTACGTATAACTGCTTCAACTGTGCTTTGGTTTTTGGCGCTCATGCCTCACTGAAGATTATGCGCTCCTAATTCTCTAACAGGGACATTCCAAGGTCAACGTATCCCAAAGATTTGCCTGATAGCTTTAGTCAAGTACCATCAGATCCATCGCACACTGACAGTGACCACTCACATCTACGGAGCTGTGCTGAAAATCCAAGGCAAGAGTCCAGCCCATCCACAGACTGTTTAGCTCAGACCGACTTCCAAGTGTCCCAACTCCAGGATTCAGAAGCTCGGCCTTCACAGGACCTGAAGGAGGATGCCAACCCAGTTAAAGAAGTTCATCTCGGCTGTAACAGCTTTGACCTTATTGAAGGGTCACAAGAGACAAAGCAACAAACTCACTACAGCATAGCAGAGGAGGAGGAGAAGATGATGGCGGTTTTGTTTGGGTATGATGCTCAGTGGTGCTGGATAGAGTCACAGGATGATGTGACATTTTTATGATCTGTCAAATACATACCTCTGTAATGTGAGCCTATTTTTGGGTCCGATAAAAAAAATGCAACCTGTATTGTCGTGAATAAATTAATATACAGTTCTGTAAATGCGAAAAAAAAGAGATTGGTTGACTTCTCCTGTCTCATGTAAATCCATTTCAATTTCAAGCGGCGACTCTCATATCCTTCTGAACTGCGTGGCTAGAAAACAGAGACCGATTCAGCCCTCACTGCTCATATTCAAATGATCAACATCCACAACTCACACGTGCAATCATGACTTTAATATTGCTTTGTCAATAAATAATTCCAAAATTGTATAGAGCAATGAATTTTTTGGATAAGACCATTTTGTCCCGCTGAGGTGTGACGTAAAGCGATGCTAATGACGTCACGTATTTAGAGAGGAACCAGGAAGTGGAGCACACAGTCAAGAGCGTCGGTCAATAGACCGCTTTGACATTGAGGTTGGTCGAAGGGACAATGTAATGGTTCGGACAGTCGCGACGAGAAAATGGCACTTTATTTTGTCCTTTTCTTGGCCCTCGCAAAGGCGACATTTGGAAACGGTAAGCACGAAATCATTTGGTGGGGGCCGACGGCACTTTAGCCAGTTGGCTAAGCTCCACGGCACAAGTGCACAATCAAAGCAGAGCGCTGACTGTGTTAATTTTAAAATTTTGACTTTTTAAGATTTGGGATGCTAAATATCTATTTGCATATGTATCTTACCTCCGTGTTTAAAAAGTTGAATCACATTGTTACATGATAATGGCTAGTAGACGATGTGAATGAAATCTTAAAGGTCGTTTACAAACTCAACATTTGTCACATAATGAAATTTTATGTACGTATTACCTTGAGTCTTGTCTACTGAATACCTTGTATGTAAAAAAAAAATTCCCCCCCCACATGCAAACACATCACAGATGTGGGGGAGGTGACATTCGTGTCAGAACTCTCGTCCAAGCCAGCTCAAAAGTTGTCCAAGTATGATTGGTATGGCAACGCCAGGTTGCAAAAGTTTCATATACCAGATGACACTGCCATCGCCAGCTGGGTCTTCACTGTAGTCAAGGGCCACAGCTTTCACTGCAGAGAGCGGAATGTCTCCATGTAAGACTCTTATTTATTCTCTCGACTTCTCGCATTGCCTGCTGCATCCAAGTATCATTCTCTCATGTTTTTTTTTTTTTTTCTTTGTAGCCATATACGACACGGTGCTCCTCCGGTAATAAACCCAACCGACACAGCTTTTCCAAACATGACACTGTGGAACCCTCCTTACTCCCTGCTACTCCCAGTGACCTCGCTCAGCTCAGCAACATTGAACGTCTCTTATCCTGCACCCGGGGAATGGTTTGTTGCCACCCACTTGCCTGAAAACGATGGCCGCATTGAGCAGAAGGTCTGCACACATATTACTTTGTCTTGTACACTTGTCATAACTTTTTTTTTATTTTTTATGTGCAACTCTTCATCATGATGAAAGGTATTTCTAGTGTTTTGTTTACGATAGTGAGCTATGTGAGAGGATTTATTTTTGTCTATTTTTGTAAGCCCGACCTGTTCCACCAGAGCAAGTAGTTGATAGACTGGCTGGTCGGCATTAACGTCAATTAAAACACGTGCCCGTCCTCTCTCAGTCCGAAAGCAAAGTAAGCTGATATATATTGCAACATCTCCTCACTTTTTCTGTATCTTATTATTTTTCAGGGTTTCCCATCGTGTTCCTACTTTTTCCAGCCTCAGCTGTCCATCAGGAGAGCAATCGACACACCCATTATACAGTCGGGAATCAAGCTCAAAAATCAGACGGCCGCCCCGAACAAACCCGCACGCCTTAAGTATGAAGTCAGCGTGTGATGAAGTGTGTGGTCATCTAACTCGAGTTTATGTGCCGTGTTTTTGTTTGCTTAGGTTGTATGTTCCACAGTTTTCCTCGTCTCTTTCCGTCTCCGTGGATGGCTGTTCGACAGCAGAAGCCGCGGGAAGTGCAAACTGTTCTCTGGCCCTCAGCCTGGGCTCAAACTCTCTGCTCCGCAATCCCGCAAGAGTTAACTGCTATGGGCTCAGGTGTTCCGCTTCTCTTGCCAACCCGCCTTGGGACACCTGGTTACGCGTTGTCGTGGAGAGCATTCGGGACAACCAAACAGTGTTTTTCAACATTGAATCAAACTACTCAGGTAATATACGCAAATGCCGCGTACGCCCGAGTGTGATTTACACTTGTGAACTTTGATGCGACTCGTGTTTCTACTACTGGGTGTGTCGGCAGGAGGGTGAGAGTTGTGTAAGCTAGCATAAACAACAAATTTCTCTCGACTTGATATGTAGCTTTTGAGCGCAAGTAAAAATGGGAAGGTTATTTCTTTTGTCTTTTAAGTCAACTGCCACATGAGAGTGTGTCTAGCTCCATCCATTGGGTACCAAAAAAAAAGTCTTATGATGGGATTGGATCATTTATTTTTGGTGTCCTTTTGACACAAAATGGAAACTTCAAAAAACGACGACTGAGTGAACAAAACCAAAATGTACAATTGATTTCTCGCTGTGTTTCAGTGGCGTGCAAGCCGAAAAGCGTTGGTCTTTCGGCCGATGATGGCGCCGGTCTCCGCGGCAACAACAACTCCTCCTCATCAGCGAGCAACAGCTCCGCTGTGGCGATAGAGGGCGTCGCCTTCGGCGATCAGTCACGGTTGCTGAATTTGTTGCCTTCTGCATGCGTATGGAGCATCCCGGTCCTGTATGACGAGACCGACGTTCTCTCGCTCCGATTCGCTCCAGTCACCGGACCCAATGTCAGCGTCAGAGCGAGCCACCCCACGCTCCTCACATACCCTCTACCCGCGCAGGTTACCGGCGGGACACTCAACCTGCAGCTCACACTCAACACCGTAAGTGTTCGGAAATTGCATCGTCCTGTTTGCGCATGAGGGGAAGTCTTGGCTTTGCTTTGCTTTGTAGACTTATATTACTCCAGGGAACAGCAGCACTGTGGTGGCTTGCTTCACTCCCCTAGCGCCAATCCTCCAAGTCAGCAACTCCCTACAATGCCACACAGGTACCACCCATACACACACACACACCCACACACACACGCACACGCACACGCACACACACACACACACACACACACACACACACACACAGAAAGTGAGAGAGAGAGAGAGAGAGAGAGAGAGAGAGAGAGAGAAATGAAGGAATAAAAGAAAGTAATAAATGCTACGTATCGTTTGGTTACCGGTAGTATGATTTCAGTGAGGGTAACCTCCACGTTCCACTATATACTCCTGTCTGCAATTGTCCACCCTGTCCATTTACGCGGCATTGGTAAATATCCGGTTTAAGCATCAGATTTTTAATCCACATCTGGAGGAGACAAATCCAAAGTTACAGGCTCCCTCTAAACAGGCTCGTGCCGAAGGCGTCCAGGTGATGGAAACAACTTGCCATTTGAGTTTGAGTTGACCTGAAGACCCTTCTGTATGCTTCTACAGATTTGTTTGAAGGGTATGGCGTGAATGTGAGCACCAGTTTTCCCAAAGCTCTCATCCGGCTGCCTTTTCCTCTGTCGGCAACGTGGTACCTCACCCTGCAACTCAAGTGCGACGGGTAAATAGCACTTGCGTTTCTTGATAGACGGGGACATAACACGAACGCGCTTTGGAAAATAAGTCGGACATTTTGAAGTTGTGGCGCAGTTTTTGTCAAACCTTAAAAATGAATGGGATGACAGTAACATATGTGGGAAATCATAATGTGCCAAGACTTGAACCTTTGTTGCTGGTCTTGCTTGAGTTTTTTTTTTTTTTTTTTTAAATATGTTGCAGCTCATTTTTTTAAAAAATTACATTTGTTTTGTGTCGCTGCAACAGTGGGTGCGGCAATGTGTCGACCGTGTACGTGGACCCAAAAGTTTTCGTCAACGCCTGCATCGAGGACTGTGGCTCATTTGGCGAATGCAGACTGCTCAGGTCCTCCACCTACCTGTACAGCTCCTGTGTGTGCAAGTCTGGTACGACGGAAACAAAAGGCATTCCTCTCACTTCAACTCTTCACTTTCCAAACTGCAAAGCAGTTTCATGACACGTGTCAATTTGAAAAATACATGGGAAGAGCTCCTAGAAAAATTCTACAGATTAAATCGCAATATTTGAGGAAATCACCACGATTTGGTTACTTTTCAAAATCATTCAGCCTTCCTTTGTTCGTGCGTTTAGGTTGGAGGGGTTGGAGCTGCACCGACCACTCAACAGCTCTGTCGTCGACCCACCAAGTCGTAGCCGCTCTGCTGCTCACCCTCAGCAACCTCAGCTTCCTGCCGGTAATCTCGTTGGCCATCAGGCGCTTCTACTTCACGGAGGCGTCCGTTTACCTCTTCACCATGTTCTTTTCTACGGTAACGCTCAAACGCACGGTCGTCGATGATAAAGTTGGGCCGCAATTTTGACAATTTCATTTTTACGTTCGACAGTTCTACCACGCCTGTGACCAGCCCGGCATAGCCGCGTTGTGCATCATGAGCTACGACACCCTCCAGTACTGTGACTTCCTGGGGTCCGTCTGTTCCATATGGGTCACTGTTTTGTGCATGGCCCGCATCGGGAAAACAGTGAAATATGTAAGCCGACGAACCTTCCGCCGTTGCGTCGCGGCTTCGTGTTTTCCTCGGCTATTTAGACGTGGCTTGCGCTTCTCTGTTTGTGTGTACGTAGACTCTGTTTCTTCTTGGGACTCTGCTGATCGCGATGTCACTGCAGCTGGACCGCAGAGGTCTGTGGAACCTGCTGGGCCCCATCCTGTCCGCCATAATCATCATGGCCGCCGTTTGGGTAAGGGGCGCACGACAGCCGGTCTCGGCTTTCGTGTAGGGCAGAAATTGAAAGACGAGTGATACAGTTGTACCTTGAGAGATGAAATGAAGTCTGTACTTGACCTGGCTTGTAAGTCAAGACACTCCTAAATTGTCTCTCCGCCTTAAAATGAACGCAAATGCATTTCATCCATTCCAGCTCAACTCCCTTCCGAAAAAAATTGTATTGTCTTCACTTAGCCCGTGTGTCAATGATGTTTCCAGTTTTATACTAGCAGAGGGTATCGAGCTCCGAACGTCACGTGACTGATGCCCGCACGCGTTTGTTTACGCAGCCATGCTCGCACGATGGTAGTAGCGGCGGGCAAAGGATTTAAAAGAGAGCAGTGATAACATGAGCAGTGAATTAACATCTGAGGAAAATATCAACAATGAGAAACACGTGCAGGATAATTCAGGTTGAATATTACAGATCCCCATCAAGTGCCAGGAGTGCTTTTTGCAACTGTCACAACAGCAGATAGGGAGAACGAGAATGGTGAGTCTTCGCAATCGTACAAAGCCTTGGAAGTTTCCGAGTTTAGGTGATGGTCCATGTGTACTCGCATGGCTTCATCTTTTGAGTCAAGCAGATGCTACTGGCAGGCAGGAGGGGAGCAGCCGGGTACCCCCCGGCCCACGCCACGCTGGCTGCTACCCGAGCGGCGAGGCTCCGGTGTTGTGTGTCGAGAGACCATTGCTTTTAAATGTTGCCTCCACATTTTATGATTTGGTAAGAATGACCCATATCATCCCCAAATGCCTCGATTGTTTTCGTCAGTGTCAATTGGACCGAATCAGCCAGCCAATGCGGTCCTTTTTATGTGTTGACAGGTGTACCGAGGAGTTACGCGTCGCCAATGTTACCCGCCGTCCTGGCGGCGATGGGTCTTCTACCTCATCCCCGGAATACTCTGTGCTCTCATCGGGGTGAGCTTGTACATATTTGCTGAGACGGAGGACAACTACTTCTACACGCATTCCATTTGGCACATCCTTGTGGCCTCCTGTGTGCTGTTCCTGCTCCCGCCCCGTGACAGGAGCCTGGCTGATGGCAACTGGACGGCGGGATGGCGGCCGGATTGGACGTGGCGCTGGACTCCTCGCATTTGTGGGTATACGCTGTGCCAGAGTAGCAAAGATGACACAACGTCACAACATCATGTGACGCTGACACGGTGATTCTGTCAAACTGCTGTAACACTCACACAAGATGCACTTTAAAAATGGAGCATCTGCTTCTACAATGTTTTCTTCATTAGCATCAACCTGCTGCGTTTTTCTTTTCTTAAATCACCTTTAAACACTGTCCTTATAAAAGGTAATTTTGCAGACCTCTTAAAATGACATGTTCATTCCATTACCTCCTGATCCAGCTTAGCGTGAAGACATATAAATTCAGGTAGCCCGGCCAGAGGTTTGTACATATTGATTGTGTCGCTCTTTTATGAACTGTATTTGGTAGTCGATATAATATATGCTCCAAATATTTATAAATTCTATCATTTTAATAAGTGAAATTCCTGCTCAGTGATGGTGTGAATGCAAATATCTCTCTGTGTGCACGGTCCAACTGGCAACCAGTCCGAGCGTTGTCTGCCTTTAGCAAGTTGTCTGCTGGGACAGGCTCCCTGCAACTCTGAACAGTCATTCGCTTTTAGGATTTATGGGCATTTTGTTGACCTTCTACTCAAAGGAAAACTTGAATGTAAATGCGTGTGCTCTACAGTTGTGCTCATAAGTTTACGAACACTTGGGGTATGTAAAGGAGAACAACTGTACATGTGCCTCCCCATTTTTCCAAGTGTCGTGTGTTTTTGTTTCATACCTCCGTTGTTTTATATAAATTATATGCACTCCTTATTTTGGGTTTTTTCACCGCACTGATTTTTTTGCTCTTCAGATGTTCAAACCAATCATTTGTTCCTTATGATCATCATAGGCTGCCTTTTGTCCATGTTTATGGGAGAGAATGGCATGTAATGGTCAGTGAACCTCTACCTCCCTGAACACAATTACTTTTTGTATATGTGTGATTTACAAAGCAGCAAACATAAATCTGTAGTCAACAGCATTGTGCGTTTTGTGGGATTGTTTTGTTCACTCAGATTTAAAAAAAAAAAAGTGCCGGGGGTCTTTAATTCATTCAGATGTTTGTTTCTCCTCTTGTTCAACACACATTCATATGCGACGATGATGAAATGAGAAGTGGAGAGAAGCAGATTATCCTAATCCTCAGAAACGTGGAAAGCGTTAAAACACGTTCGTTGTGTGGATCCACGTGCAATCGCTCGAGTCCATTTATAAAATTGATACACACTCGTCTGGTCCTGTAAAGCTGACTAAGTGCTTAGTACTGTATCGCTGATGGAACGGTTTATTGTTTGGTTGTCTGGTTAAAATGGCAAAGAACAGGAACGTTACATTTGTCCTACAGTAAAATGGCAGGTAAAGGTACTTAAAACTCTATTGTCAAGAAAATGCATATAAACCTTCGGCGGCCTCGAAACTTGTCCGCAGTCAATATGAAGCTCGGAGCTCCCCGGAACAAAAAAAAAATACGGAAGCACGTGCACAATGCTCCAGAAGGACTGCAATACCCCACGATAAGACTTACATGAATGCAGCCGAGAAAGTGGCGTGACTACTGGTAAGAGCCCGCTCCTTTGGACGCAGTTTTGCTTGATTTAGGAGTTTGCTGTGGTCATCCATTTTCACACAAAAGAGGTGGTGTCTGTTAAAGACCACTGCGCTATTAAAGGGGTAACGAGATAAATTCCAAATTTTCTGTCCGTTTAAACTTGACCGATGGCAGTCAGTAGAGGGAGTCGGTGAGCCTGAAACGCAAAGTTCCCACGCGACCCTTAACAGTACAGTATTTGTATAGTCTTTCGTCCTTTCGTCGTCTTTTCAAGAAAGTGTTGGGTAGAAATACCCAGGATGCCCCCCCCCCCTTTAAAGTAATTCACGTTGCTATTCACGTATGCCTGGTAGAAACTGGTGGATTTCTCATAAATATTTGGTAAGTAGTTAAGCTTTGTTCTGTTTGAATCGCTGTGCTCCTTAATTTGAATTTGAAGAATTGCCGCGTGATTAGTGTACAACGTACACAGTGCACGGTGAATTTGGATTGACTTTCTTCATGTTCCACGAAGCTACCGAGACCCGAAAACCTCCCTTGTAGATGCCCGCACCATTTTGATATTTCTTAATTAAAAGATTGTGTGCGTGAGCGAGACTGAATTAGTGTACGTCATATTATTGGACGACGCAGAGACCGCGCGGCAAGCTCCCGAGTTTGTGAATCTTTGGGCCAATAATCGCAAATTTACCGTAATCACACAAAATGGGGCGCACAGCAAAACATTGAATGCAGATTTTTTTTTTTTTATTGGGATGCAAACATGCTCAAGCAAAGCAAATGAAGATTTAAAACAAGCATATATATATATATATATATATGAACCAAACTAATTACAGAATGCACATCTCTAGGATGAATCGTTTTACCTAAAAAGAATAAGATGATGATTGAAAAAAAGTAAAAACCAATAATGATTCCAGGATTAATATTCAGAAGAAAAACATTTCATGGCTCAGAGAACACACAACGAATATGATGGGGAATGCTGTAAAAGCACTGAAAGCTCTTTTATTAACTTGCTGGTGCTTTTGGTATTAAATTTGATTCATGTGGCGTGTGGATAGAAAGCTATGGTGCTCCACAAACAGGCTATATGTCTCTGTCATACATACTCTGGATATTGTGTTGTCATAGAGAGAATATCTATCTATCTATCTATCTATCTATCTATCTATCTATCTATCTATCTATCTATCTATTTCCCCAGTGTGGGACAAATAAAGGTTATCTATCTATCCCAAATAGATTGTCAACAGCATTGTGCTGTGACTGTCATTCAGTCACCAATGTTTGACTGAATGACTTCACTGCTTTTTATTCCAGCCGCCACACATCTACAGCTGTGCACTCATTACTTTAACACTTTCCTTATTCAACTACCGACGGCGCTTACATTATAAATGCGTGTGACGTGTTAAGTTGTGGAAGAAGATGAAAATATGTCGGTCCTAAAATAGTGGTGAGAAACTGTCATTTATCGATGATGGGTAGGGCGGTTAAAGTAACGATGGCAGAGAGACCAACTGACAATTTTAGATTTGCTGCGGCTAGAAATAATGACAGACTGACGATGATGGACGTCTGGCCCCGGCCGCTGGGGAATGACGAATGACGGACCAGCAACATTTACCGATGTGTCCACCTCTGCTGTGTTGTGCGACAAGATGGAGGACAAAATGTTACCATAGATAAGGACGGAAAATGAATTGCAGTCTCAGTTGCCAATGCCCCCCTCCAACGGAGCAATGAAGGAAACTGAAATCAGCATTCCAAGATGAGAACATTTACTATGTTGACCACATAGACACGAATGAGACCAAGGGTGACTTGTTTTTAGTGCTTTAACCTGGCATCAGACGGCCGCAGAGCTGGTACCTGCCTGCCCAGACCCTTTGGCGAGCCCGTCTTCCTGAGTAACAGCCTTGGCGGGGGAGGGGCTCGAGTGCCGTTGTCTCCTCATAAAGGGGAACACACTGACAAGGTGGAAGGTCAGAGAACGGATGAAGGTATTAAGGGCATGACTCGGTGTTCCTAAACAACCGTGCGAAGACGCATATTCACCTTTTTTTTGTCTCCTGTGGAATAATAGCTCTGGCCAGCATGTTCTTGTAAAGGTCAGATTTGAGATATCGGGGATAAGAGTCCTATGCAAGCACACACACACAGAGCCAACAAGGACACCCGGAAACATGAGCAAAAGTTGTTTTCTTAATTCAAAGTTTTAAAATGTAAACATTTCTGATTATACATATTATTTAAAACTCAGAGTGGTGTCCCTCAGGTTTAAACTCTGAGTCCATTGCTATTTATGTTGCAAAACAAGTTGTGTTAACTCCATTTCTGGCCGCTCTATGAATCAGTCAATGTATATTTACAGACTAGGAATCATTAAGAAATACATCGTTCTGTCAATAGTTTTTCATTTCATGTTTATATCTGCTAATATATTCAAGCCGACAGCCCAAACCTTCTTCATGAGGAAGTAGATGTGCATTTGCGCGTCATCCATGACAAAGCGATGAGGCCGTTGGATGCCCTCCAAAGTCGTCGCCATGGTTTTACTGTCAATGTTCACCCAGCGGGCAGCTCCGGGCGCCAAGAAGTTTCTGTTTCACATTCAGGAGCTCAATTGACACTAAAAGCACCAAAATATTGTTTTTGTGTGGGGGTGTTTGTGGGGCTGTGTTCTTACTTGTATATTTCTTCCACCTTCTCGATGATCTTGGAACTTTCTCCATGTCTAACGTCCTCACAGGCCTGCCAGAAACACAAATTCTCCGCTGGTGAGAGAGAGAAAACAATTGCTCTGTGTGATTGGAAGCAACAAACGATTCGACACTGGATGGAGTGAAAGTATCACACGAAACGACACCAAGTAGGGATTGCCACCATATTCTCTCACCACTAAATTCTTTCTCCAGGTAAGTCATGAATTGCCGTCTCCCCATAGTGTCAATGAGAAGTGCCATGAAGCTGAAGCTCCAACGTTCCACTCGGAGGCGTGTCGGGGTGGGCACGCTACTCGCAGAAACACGACATCCATTATATTCATTGGCAACATGAACGTGTTGAGCGTTCAGACTACGGTGAATGTGTGTGTGGTCTCACATGTCCGCATTCATGATCCAAAGTGCGGTGTCGTCGGAGATCCAGGGATTACTGGGAAGACAACCCTGCATAATGGGATCGTGGTTCTGGTACTGCTCACTGAATTTCAAAAAACTGCCCATCCACACACACACAGACACACACACACACGGTGTATTATTGTATTAGCGCTTCAGATCATAGGAGTTAATGGTCTCTAATTCCAACTTGCCCCAGGAAGCATCCATTAGTGGCTCTTCCAGCGAGAGCGCTAAGCCTTCCCTACGCGAACGTGTACTTGTGTACTTCGTGTACTGAAGGAGCAAAGTTCTGATCCTGAGATTTCACATCCATTTGAGCGTGCGTCTATTTGAACACGGCTCATTCGATGCGTCTACGTGTGTGTGTGTGTGTGTGTGTGTGTGTGTGTGTGTGTGCGCGCGCGCGCGCGCGCGCCTGGATATTAGTGCACTACGCACCTCTCCAGGCAGATGGAGGACTTGACACGGTTTCTTCCGAGAGCCCTTCGACACGTTTCCATCTGTAAACACACACACACACACACACACACACACACACACACACACACACACACACACACACACAAAGCACGTGAACAAATCTAGACTTTGTTGGACATGCTTAATAAAGTGTGGAAATGATGCGCGATGTTTACCTCTCTTTTGTAGTAATCGCTATTCTACATCTGTTCAAGACAAGACACAGGTAAAAGTATGAAGAACATCAATTAAGACTAAAAATGTAAAGTATCGTGTAATACCTAGTATTGTACTTCGTTTGTGCGTAGTCTACAATTATGTATTTATTTGTTTATTGGGAATGATTCGGACACTTACTTTGAAACAACAGCGGCAGCAAAATCAGGGGAAAATAAGATTGAGCATTACATTTGACAAGTACAAAACAGGATGTAGGACAATGATCTGTGACGCCTCCACTGACCAGTGTGACTCGTAAATTGCAGTTGCTTGGCCTTTCCAGACCCATGTCCAGCACATTATGCACCCCGGGCTGAAAGAAAACAATGAGTATCAGCACATTAATAGAGTGTGTGTTTGTCTGAGTGGGTGTGTGTGGGTGTGTGTGTCTGTGTGTGTGTGTGTGTGTGTGTGTGTGTGTGTGTGTGTGTGTGTGTGTGTGTGTGTGTGTGTGTGTGTGTGTGTGTGTTAGGACAAAAGGCATGCGAGTGAGCACTTAGCTCGCTCTGAGCTTTCCACGCCACTGGCTTGGACTTTTGATTCCCAAGTTACCCTTTCATTTTGCCCGTTCCCTCGTTCTTAATTCATAAAGGCAAGACGGGATGGAGTCCCTCCCCCAATGGCTTGTCCTCAGCTTCCCTCTTGCATTTTACAGGAACTCGCCATCACCCCTTCCCTTCACAACCCCCTCCTAATGCCTTCTTGCACTCCCCCCCCCTTTTCAATTCTATTAAGATCATGGAAGGAGAGGAGTATGACAACTGAAGAGCCATCATATATTGGATAACGTAATGTATATTGTCCCCCGCCCCGCCCACGCTCACACTCTGATTTTCCTCTGTGTTCCTCCACCAGCTGTCAGCTGAAGCTTTTACCAGATGGGTTGAATATTTCATGCGAGAGGCAGAATGGCTGGAAGCTGAACATTAGAGTGTCCTTTGACTTTGTATAAGGTAGGCAAGAGGTTCTAATTCCGCGTATATAGAACTGTAAAAACATGGTCAAATATTTGATGGGATTACTTATGTATTGCTTATGTAATACACTTGCGCATCCATTGAATTTCAATGTATGTTTTTTTTTCTTTGATCAAATTGACACTTGGTTTAGACCAAACACTGAATATAGGAATTCTTTAATCATGGATAGTTTTCATGATTTTGCGTGATCTGTTTAATGGAGGATGTTGGCCATTTTAGCATGGCCAGCATCTTAGGGAGATGGCAAAAAAAAAACCAAACAAACAAAAAAAAGTTTATGTAAGGATAAATAAATAACAGGTTAAAGCATAGTTGCGTGATCTGTTTAATGGAGGATGTTGGCCATTTTAGCATGGCCAGCATCTTAGGGAGATGGCAAAAAAACAAACAAACAAACAAAAAAAAGTTTATGTCAGGATAAATAACAGGTTAAAGCATAACATAGGATTTAATAGCATAACACGCTAACATAGTACAGTCGATCTGAGAGAGAACCTACCGGTGTTTTGTTGACGAGCCAGTAAGCCTGCTCCTGACACTCCAAAACAATACGGTCCGCCTTCCGCCTCTGTTTGGATGCCCTACACAACAAATACACTGTGAGGTTCTGGTCAGGCGTGCGTGTGTGCGCGCGCGTGTGTGTGTTATAGCATATCAATGTGTGTGTGTACCGGAGTTGCTCTCTGGCTTGCATCACCACAAAATCCCAGGTGTGATTGATCCTCTTGTGCAACACACTGTACCTCTCCTGAAAAGGCGGAGCCAATCGCCAAATATCTGACCGTCGTAATAAACACCACTCCTTGATATAGAGAACCCAACAAACCAAGTTGTATGTCTTACCTTTTCGTATTCCATCAACTCTCCTTGTTTTCTGATGTTCTTTTTAGCCAAGTAGATTGCTGATGGGGTCAAACGAAACAGGAGAAAACAATCATGGGTGACTGATGAATGTTGTTACGTCATCATTGCTTCATACTGTGTGATAAAATCTTGGGAAAAGAAAGCTGTAAAATCTGAAGCTGGGAGACGGCTACGTCCCATCCACAACGGCGCAAACGCCCCATGACGCTGAATTCTACTGGTCGGGCAAAATACCAAAAGAAAGAAAACCCCATCCATGTGCACTGCTGTCAATGCTGTTCATGATTTGCACCCTAGAAGTAAGCCTAGTAACATCTTGTTTCCGATATCCATGTGCACTGCTGTCAATGCTGTTCATGATTTGTTCATGAAAATGTCAGTCTTTACTCACCATAGTCCAGCTCAGAGGGAGGCCATCTAGTACTGGTCCAGAAGTAAGGAGTCTGAAAAAGACAACCTTTGCAAGTCAGTCCTCACTGGAGGTGAGATTCGTCCAAATGAATCCATGCCGATGGAGGGGATGAGGAATAAAACATACCTGGAAACGGTAGGGCGATTCATCAGGACGTAGCACAAGCAATCGGGGCTCCTTGAGAGGGTAAATATAGCCAAACCTCACCAGCATGCCTCCAAGATGCAGAGCCTCTGGAGGAGTCACAAACCCGTCACTTTAGGCACCAATCCCTCAGATGATTTGGATTATCGTATGTGCTCAATACAAGTACAGCATCTGAATAAACTTCTCAAGCATGAGCAGATTTTTTTGACACTGTGGAAAACATTGGGCTCGATTAACCTTCCATGCTTGTTTCAGGGATGTGGGAGGAAGACAGAGTACCCGTAGAAAACCCACTCAACCATAGAAATTGCAATTTCCATGCAGGAAGGTCGGAACCAAGTTTTTAACCTAGGACCTCAGGACTGGTACTGTGGACAATCTGCTCTCAACCCCTCTCCCTCTTAGACCGTTAAATTAAAGTTCCACTGTACATTATTTTTACTTTATTCTTACTACTACTACTACTACTAAAAATAACAATAACCTATGCAATGTCATTTAATCAGTCCCCGATGTATTTTTCCTTCCTACAAGAGGCCAACGCACCGCATTTCTTTCCAGCCTCTAATTGAGTTGAGCAACCGTAAAGATTCCCCAAGGGTGAAAAGTCTCCACATGGGATCTGAATCAAGTCAGGTCACCCGGTGAGTTAATCAAACTTGTAATCTCTGGGGTGCGCATTCCTGCTTATTGGAAACAACAACCTCACGACACACAAAAGTGACTTCTCCCACTCAGCTGGAGAGGACGAGCACCGTATCCAGGCAACACACACAACAACGCATCAGCAGTACAAAACAGTCAACCTCTGCTCTTTGGAGGGAATCGGGACCGAGCCCTGCCTGCCCGATAAGTTTTTTTTTTTTTTTATTTATTTTTTAATAAGACTGCCTATAGGCTATGGCTTGCCAAAATAAAGTGTTTAAAATACTGTAGACTAGACAGCATGGCGCTTTATATCAGACACGGCACAAAAAAGTGAATAGGTGAGGTTTTTTTTTTTTTTTTTTTTAATAAGACTGCCTATAGGCTATGGCTTGCCAAAATAAAGTGTTTAAAATACTGTAGACAGCATGGCGCTTTATATCAGACATGGCACAAAAACAGTGAATAGGTGAGTTGTTTTTTGTTTTTTGTTTTTTTTTTAGTCAAATAACTGAGTACAGGTTGCCCCCCAAAAAAATCTTTGAATTAACTGTCAATACCACTCTGAGGTTCTGATGAGCTCCTCACCTTCCTCGCCTATGTTGTATTTGTGGATGAGCCACTCGATGATGTCACGGCCTGCAAAGTCACGAGACAGGAGGGAAAGAAGAGAGGGAATAAGAGGACAAAGCTCCTCCTCGCCTGCTCTTCGCAAAGCATACGGTTCTCCAAAATTCACGGCTGCATTATGCATGAGCAGCGGGACCAACATGCTGCAGCGGGCATTTCCAAGCGCACGCACGCACGCACACCTGTCATGGCGTGTGGGATGACCGTTATAAGGAGCCTCTGGTTCCTCATCTTCACGCCCATGTCCGGGTCCTGCATAGCCACAATCACCTTCTCCATCTGGAAGTTAAGGCGCACACATACGTGGAAGTCAAACACACCATGCGGGACGTAATAAATAGAGAGCTATGCGGGTGAAATACTCCATCCCTATATGACTTTTTTTCATCCAAGCAGGTTTTTAATTGCACTGGGGTCAGACCGGGTGACATTCAGTATCATCCCGGGGGTCATGTCATCACTTGTTAATACAGTGCAGTGGAATTCGGCAATCAGATCATGACTTTAGGTGTAGAAGAAAGCAAATATCCATTAGATGACGTTTGAGCATAGCAGTAACATGGCCTGTTTCCTTTTTTTGTCCACGATGTTATAAAATTGCCATGTATTGCTGTCAATCACAGTGGATGTCTGCAGCAGAATTACTGGCCACACACGTCGGGGATCGCTGCAGGGTCTCCACAATAAACACTAGAACAGTGGAATCCATCCGGTCAGTCTAATGATTTGCATCCATTAAGCATTAGTTGATGCCATCTGGTGACCTCCTCAGACCTCACTGGGCTTAAATCATCCGATTCAAACACTCACTCTGAGCAAAAGCTGATATTTCTATCTGAACTTACTCATGGGATGCACAATTTGTATTTAAATGATTCATTTCACTGTATAGTTTTGTGGTATTTTATGTACAGTGCATGGCTTATAAAACTGCATTATTTTCACCTTTTTGCAGCAAAACCCTATTAATATCAAGCGAATTACCTTTTTTTTTAAATGTGTTAAAACATCCTTTCCAGTTTTTTAAAATAGCAACCAACTGTTATTGTATGGTTTTCAATTAACCTATTACATAAGACAAATGTGTGTGTACTATCATAAGAAAACTTTCTTTTAAAAAAAAATCTTAATTGAAATGTAAAGATTAAAATCACCCTACTGGATCACTGTCAAATTGTATTAGATTTGCTCAAGTACCAGTTTCACCTTATACTTAACATTGAAAATCACATGAAATCAAAATTATAATTTCATTAATTTAACTCATCATAATTTCTATGATCATTTCTATGATTCTGTGTATTGTTCAAAGACATTTTGTTGTCGTGCATCTGGATATTGTGCACTGATTTTTCAGGTGACAGTCTAGAGAACTCTTGACTACTCTTCCTGCTAACAGACAATAAATCCTGGAATAAAAAAAAGGTCATTCGTACCTTTCGGAAACATGCCATTTGTTCCCGGTGGCAGCCTCCTCTAGCCAGGGTGCTGATGGTCATCTTGCGTGCACTTTGGGGTAGCTCCACTTAGTCCATGGGACGGCATCAAGTGCGAGAGAGTTAAGTGATGGCGGCGCGAACGCGCAGAGAAGCGTGCACGTTTTTTTCTCTTTGCCATCACGCGCACCCCAGTGGCGATAAAAGCGGATTAGAGGATGCCGGCAAAGTGATTTGAATAGATAAAATGTTCGATACAAGAGAGGGAGAAAATAACGGGACGTGTTTTCATACAGTACATTTTAGTTTTATTGGCAACCTAACACAACAAACCCCGCCCCTCCCCCCAAAAAATTCTAGTTCCTATGGTTTTGTTATTATAATGTAATCAATCAATAAACAGACTAAAACTACTAGTACCACCACTACTAAATACAGTACAACAATTATAATATTGTTGTCATTATTTCTATTTGTAATGATAAATAATTAATAATAACCAACTCTACTGTACTCCCATTTCGGGCTGATTACACAACGAACCTTGCCGCTGCTCCATGCCCGGTGTGGGGAAAGCAACTGTTTTGTTCCACAGACGCTTCCGTAGAATACTAGGAAGTTGCTTCGGCGATGTTGAGAGGCCAATCACTCGTATCTTCATCCGGTAATTTCACCCGAGGTGAGATCTTATTTCAATTCACTTGATATATCTTTTACTGCTCTATCAGTAATTAATGCGCAAGTGTTTTTTTTGTGTAATGGACAACGTTGACGTTAGCTTGATTTGCTAACATTAGCCGAAGCAGGATGACCGACTCTCTGGGACTCACTTAGAAAGTGTTCATACCAAACGAAGTTTTAAACCTAAATACTTGAATGTGAGCATCTGGATTTATTCATTCGTCATATTGGGAAGAATGCACTCTCCAAGGGTGCGTACTGGATTCTGGATTGTTATTGCCGTTAATCCCCAATGTCACTCAGTACATGATTGACACATCAGACTTGAAATTTCAACAACAATGGATAACAATGCATAGGCTCCAATTACAAGATAAGCTCACGCACCTAAATACTTGAATGTGAGCATCTGGATTTATTCGTTCGTCATATTGGGAAGAATGCATTCTCCAAGAGTGCGTACTGGATTCTGGGTTGTTATTGCCGTTAATCCCCAATGTCACTCAGTACATGATGGACACATCAGACTTGAAATTTCAACAACAATGGATGACAATACATGGGCTCAAATTACAAGATAAGCTCACGTTGACCATGATCATTCTCAAATATCGACTAGCTGCTACCATGTATGGAAATAACATGAATAACAAAGCCATACTGGTTCTTTCTACTGGAGCGAGAAGTTTGTAAAATTCTTTTTGTGGGTCCATCAGGTAGAGATGGGGGACATACGTCAGTCCTTGTTGCCTCGTGATGTGCTGAGTGCCGCCAAGGAGCTGCTGTACCACTTGGACATCTACATCAGTAACCTGGTGCAATCGGGTAGGCAGCCTCCCCAAGTAGACACGAAGACCTTGGAGCTGGTTGAGGAATTCATTCTGCATGCACCAAAGGACAGAAGCGCACTGACCAGGGTAAGGCACGAGGCGAAAACAGTCCACGCACCACGTTGATATCAAAACAGGAAGCTGATACACATGTTATTTTCTCTCAGAGAATGAGTGCACTTCAGGAGCTTCAGCTTCTGGAGATAATGTGCAGCTGTTTCCAGGAGCAGAGCCGTGATACTGTTCGTCAGCTCATGTTCTCCGCCCTCTTCAGCCTCCAAGGGAACCAGGCAGATGACAGCCGCATGGGACTGCTAGGCAAGCTGGTCTCCATGGCAGTTGCTGTCGGCAGAGTTCCCATCTTAGAATGTGCCGCGTTCTGGCTGCAGGTCAGCATTCTAGCGCTAAAACACACTTGCTGAGCTGAGACTCTCTGTGCGTATTTTTTCTTACTGCTGCATCTCTATCTGTGTATGTCTGCCAGAGGACCCATCGCGCGTACTGCGTGCGCCTGGCACAGGTGCTGGTGGATGACTACTGCAGTATGATGCCAGGTTCCGTGCCCACCCTACAGAATATCCACAGTGCCAGTCCACGCTTCTGCTGCCAGTTCATCACTGCTGTTACCACCCTCTATGACTTCACGTCAGGTTTGGGCATTGAAAAAATGCTGAACAAAATCAAATATTTCGTATATGTCAGGGTGAGGCAGGGTGCATTATCATCTCAAAGTTGATGATGATAATGCAATCAATGAAGTGATTTCTACAATGATTCATTGATGAACACTGTCGACATATTCATGGATGAAATCCGATGACATCCACGAATCTGTCTGCCTGCACCCGAATCAAATGCACCAAAATGGCAGTGCACGACCTGCGCCACAACTTAGATCTGCTTTTAGCTGGTCTAAAAAATTGCCTCCTTTCCGCCTCCAGCTTGTCAGGTGCGCCGGGGGTATGCAAAAGAAAATTCACCGAACACCTTACGTGGCGTGCCACATGCACTGTCTATGAAAATAAAGCCCGAAAATAATTTATTTGTCTTGAATAGAGGCGTCAAGAAAAACAAAACAAATGTTTGATTTAAAAGATGTGAGTGCATCACATAGAATCTTTTCACTTGAAAATGTACCATTCTAGTATCATATCACAGCCTATGTTTCCAGATACGTATCGACCCCTAGAATTGAATCTCAAGTCCCTCTTTTAAACTACGCCAATTTGTGTTCTGCTCTTTGTCCTTCAGAGGAGCTCGTTCCTCCTCTAGAGCTCCTCCAGATGATTGTGTCATGGATCCAAGAGGACCCCCGCATCGTTCTGGTCACCTTCCTGAACACGCCCCTATCTGGCAGCCAACCAGTCAGCTCACTTGATCTTACACCTCTCGGTGGGCTGGTGCGCTGGTGCGTCAAAGCCCCGCTGGGATACAGGAGGGACAAGAAGCAGGCGTCCGTACACTGCAGCTCAGAGAGTGAGCAGGAAGTGTCGGGCCTTTTCTCGGCACTCCATCTGAGTGTCCTTCAGGTCAGTGTCTTCTCATTTGTTGTGTGTACATCCATGCATGCGTGATGTCATCCTTTTTTAAAATTTTTTATTAGGTCTTTATGCTC